CGCCATGTTCCGCCGCAAGCTCTCGGCGCTCGACTACCACAACCCGGCCGGCTTCAACTGCAGGGGTGAGCGCTAACGGGCCTCTCCGCGCCGCGCCTCCCGGTGCCGGCGCTGCGGGGAGCCCTGCTCCCGCATAACGGGCCTTTCCGTGCGTTCGGAGCCTTTTTTTCTTGTTGTTTTTATATATTTTTTTTGCCCTCGGTGATTCAACGTTTGCCCCCGGGGCCTCCGCGGGGAGTTTCGGTGCGAGCGGCGCTTCCCTGCACTGCTTTCCCCGTTACCTGCGGGTCTGAAACGCGAGGGCTCGAGAATGGGAAGATAAATAAATTTAAAAAAAAAAAAAAAAGTTAAACCGTTTTCTGGGCTGCATTTCTGCAATTCTCTGTGGTCAAGATTCAGCCATGACTCGCTTCAGTTGCAGCAAAATTATTACTATAACTTTAATAATAATAATAAACTAATTGCAGCAACCCTGTGCTGCTTCTCAGCAGGTTCACAGCTTTTTTTCTTTGTCTTTTTTAACCTTATTTTTGCTGTTATTGCTCAAAAGGGCTACGTAAGATACATTTGTAGCCAATGTGATCAATTGTAGCCATCTTTTTTTTCTAGGCCTTTTTTTCCTTTAATGCTTCTCATAGACTGACCTCTCCTTCAGGAGATCATCTAGCAGCATCTTCTTTTGTAGGGGATCCAAACTTTTTTTTATTGTTAACTATTTTTTGAAAAACTGGATTCTGCCACTGTCTAGTTTTAAGTGTCTCCTTGAAAGCTTCTCTTCAGGCACATGGTGACTGTCTCCATTTCTTATAGTGCAACAGGAATAGGGCATTTGTGTTGCTCAAGGCAAAAGCAGGAATATTGTTCCTGCCCCTGAGGGAAAAACGGCATCCTTAGCCCAGTCTGAGATGCAGGAGAAGCTGCTTCAGGATATGGAAACTCACCCAATGACAGAATATTGCTATTTTTTGGGGAGAGGGCAGCAGTACTCCAGGACTGCGATTTACAGCATCGAGAAATAAATTCCATCCCCGAAGAGCAGGTGCAAAGCAATTGCTTGGTCCTGTGCTAATATTTTTGTTTGGACTCCAGTCTTTGTATTGTGGAATTCTGACTCCAAATGGCAAAATGTTGAGTAAACAATAATGGAAAAATAACTTTGCAGAGTCACGGGATGTGTGTGTATTGTTTTTTAGAAAAGACTGGGGGTTATTGCAACATGTGACATGTTTGCCTGGGCAACAGGGTTAGTAACTGAGTTTTTCCCTATCATTGTTTTGCTTTTCCTTCTTTACTTAACAACAATCTGTTGGCCGATATCTTTTAGTTTAGTCAGTCGACCATAGACAGTCAAGTGACCAGAAAAATGAGAAACGTTCATAGTACTGAGTTCTGGTCAGATGTTATCTTGGAATATACAGTTTTAGTGGAAGATACATTTTTCATAATGGTAAAACATAAAAGCGTGCAGGGGTACCAGATTCTGTCTGGATGAGCTGCCTCAAAATTCACGGTCTGGGTTTTTCCCTTAAAATATTGGTTCATTCTTCTTTTTGTTTGTTTGTTTCTTTCTATAGATGAGACGGAATTCAGAAATTTTATTGTCTGGCTTGAAGACCAGAAAATCAGGCACTACAAGATTGAAGACCGAGGGAACTTGAGAAACATACACAGTGATGATTGGCCCAAATCTTTTGAAAAGGTATTTTTGCCGTTTCAGACACAAATTCAAGTTCTAAAGCTTCTGTGTGTAATAATTTCCATAGATGCTAAATGTAAATGACTGAATATTTGCCAGTGCGTGATGCCAGAGGTGCTGCTGCTGTTGTGGCATCAGCAGCACATGTGGCAGCTGGTCTTTCTTGGTTGGTCTCTCCTTGCTCTCCTCCTGTGCCTCTTCCCAGCGCTGGGAAACGCTCTCCCTGCTCGTGACGTGCCAGCCCTGGTGGCACTGCTGGAGCGGAGGCTGCGTGGCAGCTCTTGTCCCTCCCTTCAGCACAAGGGACTCTGCAGAGTTTCCCCATGTGCTGGCCTTTTTGCTCGTGGCGGTGGGTTGTGCCAGGGCAAGGTCCTGTGTCCTGGCCTTGGAGGGCTTGAACTGGTGGCCCAGCCTGGGCTTGTCGTCCTCCACTTCGTGGCCCTCTGGGCCTAGCACTTCAGCACTGCATGGTGACCTAAGAAAGGAAAAATTACTTCTCTCCCTGCCACCTGAAATCCTCTGACCTTTGTCCAGATGATTTAAAGTTACTGTTGTGCCTGGTATCGATATTGTGAAAGTTTTAGCTGACAAGCAGAGGCATTTGCTCTGTTTGATCTCACCTTCTTGCCCAAATCTCCAGTCACTGTGTAAACTGAACAGTGAAAGGAGCATCTTTTGTGCCTTTGGCTGTCAGTCTGACAGTGTGTAGCATCACTTACTGCCTGAAAAGTGAGTGGATTGAGCTGGTTGTGGAGTGGGGTGGACTGGAATGCCTCAGGTAGATCAGATTGTGTAGCAGGACACTGCATGATAGTTCTTCTTACTAATAGTTATCTTCTAATGACATTCAATTCTGGGAGGGAGTAACTATTTGCAAAACACTCTGTGCTCCTCACTAATTCGTACAGGTACTTCCTTCACGGCAGTAACTCCTATTTCTTTTTTTTCCTCTTTCTGCTCCACAGTATATGAAGGATGTAAACTGTCCCTTCAAAATACAGGAACGACAAGAAACAGTGGACTGGCTTCTTGGATTAGCAGTTAGACTTGAGTATGGAGATAATGGTATGATGGAACTTGCTAAATATTTCAGAATAAGCTGGAAACTTCACTGTTTATTTTAGTATTTGTTTAATTAATACAATGTCAAAAGTATTTATCTAAAAAAAAGTTTGGTCTACTTGTTTTGCACTGTATTCAAATATGAGCTGCTTCAGCTCAGCTCCCCTGGGTCACTGCAGGAATGTACTCATGTATATATCACATGTGGGAATATTCACTCACATGAATATGTAATGTCTTGGATACAGCAAAACCCACTTCACGTTTTTATACTTTTCTCCCATGGGATTGTCTTTATAAAAACTTATTCTAAAATGCATTAAACGCTTTTTCTTTAGTACTGATATTTCAATAAGTTATGTCTTGTGAAACAAAAAAGCAAGAATAACTCCTGAGCCCTTGGAACCTAGGATGAGGTTGCGAAAAACTGGTTTCCATTTAGTGAGAGCGCAGAGATAAACGTAGTTACTGGTGGCAGACCTTTTAAAAGGAAAACTGGTGCCAGAGCAATGTTTTCCATTACCTCTGATTGCTGCTGAGCTCTGACTGTGGCAAGGAAGGGATGTAGATGTTTGCAGCTTGTAGGGCTTTTTTAACCCCTCTGGCTGGAGGGGCTGCCTTTAACTCAGGGCTCTGCGAAGGTGGAGGGGCCAGAAGAGGTCCTGTTTTCAGAAGGCTTGAAAAACAGCCATGTGGATCACACAGGAATGCTGTTGCCTGTAAAACAAGGCACCTCCTGGGAGTGTTTTACTCTGTCTTATCAGAACACGCTGGCTAAGGTAAAGCGGGCTGCAGGGTTAGCTGCGTGCTGGGTTTTAGACACAGCAGAGCTGCAAGGTGCAGGTTCAGCCTTGCTTTTCTGGGGTGAAACTGCAGAGTGTTGTGCCCTGCCGAAGCAGGGAGCGTGCTGCAGCCCTGCTCTGCAGCAGGACAGACGTGGGGTGCAGATGGGAGCTCTTAAAGTGCTCACTAGACTGACACCTACTCAGGCTTTAGTAGAGGAGCCCCAAATTTGCAGCATATGTGTCCATAAGGCTCTGGGGTGTAAGCCATATGTCCAAAATGTAGTTGACTCAAGCTACTGTTTTATACACTTTTAACTTGTTAT